TATATATATATATATATATATCTCTTAATTAAGTGAGTATATGCTTAACACACACACATTCACCAATAGGGTCAGAAAAATAATCGTGTTTTCCCTGTTTTCCCTCTATGTAAATAAACACTGGATTAAACACTGAATTCTGATTGAGGAAATTGTTTAGATACAGTAGATACAGTGAAAAACGACAAAAATGCTGAGGAAGAATATCAGTTTCTGCCTTGTGTCAAAATGTCAGACACAAAAAGAGGCAAAATCCTGCCTTTCCACATTCACAACTGCTCTTAATTAAACAGAGAAAGTCTCTTATCATTTTGCTGACACATTTTACACATCAATACATAAACTACAATGTTATGATTTATTTGAATTTATTTAAATGTTATTATTTATTAGCTTACAAACCCCAGGTTTTTTTTAAATATAGATGTATGCATACACATACACATAAACACAAATACACAATTCAGCACAAATATCTAAAAATCATTATCAAATATCTTAAATTAGAATTAAGTGATTTATCAGAGTTGAGACTGGAAAAATATGTGAAAAATATTTCCCAATGAGTTCAGAAAATGTTCATGTGGTTCATGAGTTGATGGAAAAACTAATAATTTAGTATATTTAATTAAATAATAAAAATGTCAAATTAAAATAAGTCATTTTAAAATAATAATCAAAATATAACACTTGAAAAAAGACACAAAAAGACAAAATATTGAATCTGTTTTCCTGCATGTCAGGTAACCATTAACCAACATTTAAAAAAAAAACATGAACATGCAAATATTTTGTTAAATTATAGAAATAATATTCATTTAAAATCCCAGGGGTACTAAAAGTAAATATTTTAGGTTAAAGGGTTCGGCTGCCAAAAAGGTTTGAAAATCCGATATACAATATAGAAACCAAACGGAAACAGAGCTGATATTAACCTCAAACGGATCAGATTTCATCACCTATAAAATGACGGTGTAGACAGTTTCCGTTCAGACAGTATACAAGTCCTATCAACATCCTAACAAACAGGAAGTGACTCACCGTTCTTCTCTGCGTGTGGTCTGATGACTTCCTGTCCTGGCAGGCAGGGACACGGACCCTCACACTTCACAGAGATGCTCTTACTCGAGCTGCAGGCCTGGAAATCAAGTTTACACTGTGGAAGAGCAGAGAGGATTCTGGGTAGTGCATTTGGAGACTTTATCGCATTTAACCGTCGCAGCCCAAGCGTTGAGCTTTATCACTCGTGAAATGAGTCTGTTTCCTCAGCCAGGAGAAAAATACGAGTTATCAAAATAAGATGGCATGATTTGAGTTCCTGTGAAGTGAGGCAATTGTGTTTGTCAGATCTGATCACACAGAAATGGTGTAAAATCTGCTGCGTTCTTTGGCTTTTAATTAAAGATGATGTCATGATTAGACTATCAGACTATAATGCTTCATCAAGTGTAATACGTCATTATTTATCAAAGCAGAATCAAATAAAGAAACAGCAGGCAGTCCTGTTGATTAATAATCGCTGAAAATGTGAGCTTATATAGAATAAATATGAATAGAATAGAATAAAATGTACTTGTCACCTCTTATTAAAGGAATAGTTCACCCAAAAATGTAAATTTGCTGCAAATGTCCTCACCCTCAGGCCATCTTAGATTTAGATGAGTTCTTCATTCTGCAGTGAATGGGTGCCGTTAGAATGAGAGTCCAAACAGCTGATTAAAACATCACAATAATCCACAAGTAATCCACACCACTCCAGTCCATCAATTTACATCTTGTGAAGCCAAAAGCTGGGTGTTTGTAAAATATTTTTTAACTTTATTTTATATTTTTAACCATTGCTTCCAGCTAAAATACGAGTCCATAATCCACAATAACGCTTCCTCCACTGAAAAAGTCAATCTCCTGTTGTCCTCTCACATCAAAATCCACCAACATATTTGTTTAGAGATGTTTTGGCTTGTAAACGATGCTTGATCTGTGCATATTCCTCTCCTAATTCAGACAGGAAGACTTTTTCACTGGAGGAAGCGTTATTATGGATTATGGACTCATATTTTAGCAACAGTTTGATGTTAAATACATCTTATTGATGGATATATATATATCTCTTAATTAAGTGAGTATATGCTTAACACACACACATTCACCAATAGGGTCAGAAAAATAATCGTGTTTTCCCTCTGGATTTATTATGTAAATAAACACTGGATTAAACACTGAATTCTGATTGAGGAAATTGTTTAGATACAGTATTTGTCCTGAAAAACGACAAAAATGCTGAGGAAGAATATCAGTTTCTGCCTTGTGTCAAAATGTCAGACACAAAAAGAGGCAAAATCCTGCCTTTCCACATTCACAACTGCTCTTAATTAAACAGAGAAAGTCTCTTATCATTTTGCTGACACATTTTACACATCAATACATAAACTACAATGTTATGATTTATTTGAATTTATTTAAATGTTATTATTTATTAGCTTACAAACCCCAGGTTTTTTTTAAATATAGATGTATGCATACACATACACATAAACACAAATACACAATTCAGCACAAATATCTAAAAATCATTATCAAATATCTTAAATTAGAATTAAGTGATTTATCAGAGTTGAGACTGGAAAAATATGTGAAAAATATTTCCCAATGAGTTCAGAAAATGTTCATGTGGTTCATGAGTTGATGGAAAAACTAATAATTTAGTATATTTAATTAAATAATAAAAATGTCAAATTAAAATAAGTCATTTTAAAATAATAATCAAAATATAACACTTGAAAAAAGACACAAAAAGACAAAATATTGAATCTGTTTTCCTGCATGTCAGGTAACCATTAACCAACATTTAAAAAAAAAACATGAACATGCAAATATTTTGTTAAATTATAGAAATAATATTCATTTAAAATCCCAGGGGTACTAAAAGTAAATATTTTAGGTTAAAGGGTTCGGCTGCCAAAAAGGTTTGAAAATCCGATATACAATACAGAAACCAAACGGAAACAGAGCTGATATTAACCTCAAATGGATCAGATTTCATCACCTATAAAATGACGGTGTAGACAGTTTCCGTTCAGACAGTATACAAGTCCTATCAACATCCTAACAAACAGGAAGTGACTCACCGTTCTTCTCTGCGTGTGGTCTGATGACTTCCTGTCCTGGCAGGCAGGGACACGGACCCTCACACTTCACAGAGATGCTCTTACTCGAGCTGCAGGCCTGGAAATCAAGTTTACACTGTGGAAGAGCAGAGAGGATTCTGGGTAGTGCATTTGGAGACTTTATCGCATTTAACCGTCGCAGCCCAAGCGTTGAGCTTTATCACTCGTGAAATGAGTCTGTTTCCTCAGCCAGGAGAAAAATACGAGTTATCAAAATAAGATGGCATGATTTGAGTTCCTGTGAAGTGAGGCAATTGTGTTTGTCAGATCTGATCACACAGAAATGGTGTAAAATCTGCTGCGTTCTTTGGCTTTTAATTAAAGATGATGTCATGATTAGACTATCAGACTATAATGCTTCATCAAGTGTAATACGTCATTATTTATCAAAGCAGAATCAAATAAAGAAACAGCAGGCAGTCCTGTTGATTAATAATCGCTGAAAATGTGAGCTTATATAGAATAAATATGAATAGAATAGAATAAAATGTACTTGTCACCTCTTATTAAAGGAATAGTTCACCCAAAAATGTAAATTTGCTGCAAATGTCCTCACCCTCAGGCCATCTTAGATTTAGATGAGTTCTTCATTCTGCAGTGAATGGGTGCCGTTAGAATGAGAGTCCAAACAGCTGATTAAAACATCACAATAATCCACAAGTAATCCACACCACTCCAGTCCATCAATTTACATCTTGTGAAGCCAAAAGCTGGGTGTTTGTAAAATATTTTTTAACTTTATTTTATATTTTTAACCATTGCTTCCAGCTAAAATACGAGTCCATAATCCACAATAACGCTTCCTCCACTGAAAAAGTCAATCTCCTGTTGTCCTCTCACATCAAAATCCACCAACATATTTGTTTAGAGATGTTTTGGCTTGTAAACGATGCTTGATCTGTGCATATTCCTCTCCTAATTCAGACAGGAAGACTTTTTCACTGGAGGAAGCGTTATTATGGATTATGGACTCATATTTTAGCAACAGTTTGATGTTAAATACATCTTATTGATGGATTTGTATCTTGAAAAACTCAAGTTTTTCACTTCACAAGTTGTTAACTGATGGACTAGAGTGGTGTGGATTACTTGTGGATTATTGTGATGTTTTTAATAGCTGTTTGGACTCTCATTCTGACGGCACCCATTCAAGTGATGGAATGCTACATTTCTTCAAATCTGTTCCAATGGAGAAAAGAAAATGGATGGCCTGAGGGTGAGGACATTTTCAGCAAATTTTCATTTTTGGCTGAACTACTCTTTTAAGGACAATTGCTGCTGTGCTGATAATCATAATCCCATAATGATGGAGAATAAAGAGAGAAAGAAATGAACACGGCATTCAAACACTATTTGTGTGCATCTGCCAGTTTAAGACTTTAATCTTATTTTTAACACTGAAGGGGTCTTTTGTTCAGTAAAGATGCTGTTCAATGCTTCAGATCAACACAAATGCATTCAGGGAAATAAATGAATCACATTTGTCAAGGGAAACTCTAGAGATCTATATTTTCTGAATAATACTCCATATTATACAGGTACATGTAAACAACATGAAACAGCATTTACAACCCATTTTACTTTCATAATGTGATCTGAATGTGAGTTTTCAGTGGACTGAATTTATCCATCCATCCAGATAGTATAGATAGTAAATAGTATACTAGAAAACCAGATAGTAAACACATACTGTATAAAACAAGTCTGTATCAGAGAAATTATAGCTTCTTTTTTTTCTGTACACTGAATTTCTATTTCAGACTACTTTTAGTTTATTTTAATGGTGCATAAAGCTTTCATTTTGTTTTTGTACTATGAAAATTAGCGTCGCTTGTCTGAAAATAAAAGAAATACATTATAAAACAAGTCTGTATTGTCACGTTTATGGTCTGTTTTGTTTTTGTTTTCTGTGTTTCCATTATTCCTGCCTAGTTAGTTTCCATGGTTTTTGATTAATTAGCTCCACATCTGTTTCTGTTCTCCCTAATTGCATTCCATGTGTTTATAGCCCCGTGGATCGGGGCTAATTACCATCGCCCTGTGGACCTACCAGACACCACTGGAATAAGCTGTAGGGAAGGGATCCTCCAGTGTCTGGAGAGCGTCCGGCCCCAATGTGGCCCGTGGTGGCCAAGCCGGCTAAGGTCACGGAGGATCCGCCATGGCCTCCTGAGTCACCTGATCCGCCATGGCCCCGTGAGTCCCCTGCTCTGCCATGGCAACCTGAACTGCCTGCTCTGCCATGGCCCCCTGAGCTACCAGCTCCGCCATGGCAACCTGAACTGTCTGCTCCGCCATGGCTCCCGGAGATCCCTGATCCGCCCTGGAGGCCTTCCCGTGTCCCTGTCTTGCACCAGCCTTTAGGGCGCCCACCCCCACTCCCCGGTGTTATTGTCATGGCGCGGGACGCGCCTTCCGGGAGGGGGGGAGTAATGTCATGTTTATGGTCAGTTTTGCTTTTGTTTTCTGTGTTTCCGTTATTCCTGCCTAGTTAGTTTCCATGATTTGAGTAATTAGCTCCACACCTGTTTCTGTTCTCCCTAATTGCATTCCACGTGTTTATAAGTTTATTCCTGTCTGTTCCTTAGTTTTCGGTCTGCTATTATTTGTATTTGTTCGTCAATGATGTGATACGTGTGTTCCTGCCTGCTTTATGAAGATTAAAGTCTGTGTATCGTAATTCTCCTGCGTTCTCCGCTTTCCTTGTTCCTCACTCCGTGCTCCTCACAGTAGCATACCGTGACATATGTGTGTGTATATATATATATATATATGGTGCATAATATTTTGTTTTGGTTTTGTCTTTTGAAAATATTCTGTCAGCAGATGTTTTTGTTTATAATAATTTTTCTATATACTGTATAGTGTTACTGATTCTACATACAGTACAACTATCCATCATTCATCCATCTAGATATAGTTAAATAAATATAGTATAAAACAAGTCTGGTGCAGGGCAATTATAGCTTGAAAATGTTTATTTTATTTTATATGATTTGCTTGGTTTCTATTTCAGGTTTTTGTTTTTTTGCTTTACTGGTTCATAGAGCTTTAATATTTTATTTTATTTGCTGATTTTATATTTTGGTCTAGTTTCAGCTTTTCTTTCTTTTTTTTAATTTGTATATAGAGCTTTAATTTTGGTATTTTATGTTATTTTATTTTGTATGCTGAGTTTCCATTTTAGTCTAGTTTCAGTTTGTTTTAATGGTGCATAAAGATTTAATTTTGGTTTTGTCATGAAAATTACCATAATTTGTCTGAAAATAATTAGACCATGGCTGTTTCTGTTTATGATAATCATTCTAAATATAGTGTCACTGATTCTACAGCTGAAAATTTCAGCACAGCCGTTTACACATCTGCCGTGTCCATGATCTGTTCGTTTCTCTCCTCTATCTTTTCAGACCGAGTCTCTCTCTCACTCCATCGCTCACATCTGATTTCATTCTGGCTGAAGGGAAGGAAATAGAGTGGGCAGGGTTAAAGCGGTGTGGTCATAGATGGGAGGCACAGGTTGCACTGGAGGTTCAGGTTTTCTCTCTGTTCTCGAGCCGGAGGGGGGATTGCGCAGGACTCAAGAATCCAATATCAACAGCGGACACAGTTCATGCACCTAACCATCCATCACCAAACACTGCATCATTTACCCCAGCAGAGAGAGAGAGCTGTGCGCTGATATTGGAATTTAAAGGTGACTCTTAAAGGGGACACAATGTTCCTGGTCCTGATAGTGTTCAGGTTAAATTCCCTTGATCAGATTGCACTCGTATCTCACCTGAACCTCAACGCAAACATACTTCACATTTCAACACGGAAATGAGTCACAATTAGTTAGTATGGTATACTTTTGAATTTGAAACCCTCTTCCTGCCTTTCTGATCTTCTGCCTTCACATATTTTTAAAGAAGCTTTTCCAGTTTTGAGTCCAATCATGACTGCTATTATTAATAGCTCTCTAGTCATTGAGGTGGTACCAGCCACTTTTATACAACCGTTGTTGAAAAAGCATCATCTTGATTAGTATGTTATGAATAATTACAGACCCATTTCTAAACTATCTTTTATTTCAAAAGTCTTGGAAAAAGGTGTCTACTCTCAGATATCATCTTATTTGAGCATTTTTGGTATTTTTGATTCTTTTCAGTCAGGTTTCAGGGAACGACACAGTACTGAATCTGCATTGTTGAAGGTTACCAATGACATTTTACTCACTCTTGACTCTGGTTCCTGCTGTATTTTAATCCGGCTTGATTTAACTGCAGCATTTGACACAGGAGATCGTGATATCCTTTTACAAAGGCTCAATCATGTAGCTGGGTTTCAGGGGTCTGTGCTGAGGGGTCTCAAGGAGACAACTTTTTCTGTTAATGTGGGGAATGTTTCTCATCTTGTGCTCAAATCTCTTACGTGTTCCGCAGGGTTCCATTTTGGGTCCTCTTCTTTTCGCATTATATATGCTTCCTCTAGGTCATATTATACAGAGACACAACTTATCCTATAATTTCTATGCTGACGACACTCAGCTTTATCTTCCTGTTAAAGATAACAGCTGCTCTGTGTCCAGTGTGTTTGATTGTCTGCATGACATTAAATGCTGGATGGACTGATGATGATTTTTTTTTACAGCTAAACAATGACTGAAATAATCATCTTTGGCCTATCAGTTCTGACCTCTGACATTGTCAATCACCTTGGTCCCCTCTCCTCTAATGTACGTGCTGTGTCAAAAACCTTAGTGTTATTTTTGATCCCACTTAATGTTTTGATAAACAGATTAGTGCTGTCATGAAAAGCAGTTTCTTTAAGTTAAGATAGATCCAAAATTATGCTTTCTAAGAAGGACCTCAAAACCGTTATTCATGTTTTCAATAACATCAAGGTTGGACTACTGTAATTCGCTCTATCTTGGTTTGCCTAAATCAGCTCTAGATCGTTTGCAGATGGTACAAAACCTGGCAGCCAGATTATTGACTGACACTAAAAAACGTGAGCACATCACACCTGTGCTCGCCTCTCTTCAGTGGTTACTGGTTAAGTTCCATGTTGATTTGAAAAGTTAGCTCTTTATTTTTAAAACTTTGCATGGACTTGCACCTCAGTAAACAGTATTTGTTACCTTCTCACCCCATATACTGCTTCAAGACCCCATCGATCATCTAGTCAATTACTACTCTCAGTTCCTCATTCTTGTTTTAAAGCTAAAGGAGATTAAGATAAAGGTTTTCTCAGTAGTTGCTCCTAGGCTTTGGAATAGTCGTCCTCTCTATATTAGATCTGCTCCTTCTATTTCTATGTTCAACTTCTCTTTGAAGATCTATTTTTATTCTTTGTGTTTTAATTCTTCTTGAGGGTGTATCTTTTTCATTTGTCCATCTGGTTGTGTTTTGTATATTGTCTAGTCTTTTCTGTTTTTTATTTCCTGTACAGCACTTTGGTTTCAACATCTGTCATTTTTAAATGTGCTTTATGAATCAATAAACTAATCTAGTAAGTTCTAATTGGTAAGTCATGGGATCTTTCTGATTTCCATTCAGCTCAACGTAAACGGCGATGAATATCTCACCTTTGAGGAGTATGTGTGTCCGTCAGAGCCGCACACCGAGCTTGAGTGAACTACAGGACATGGCCTACATTTCCCATGTTTCACAGGTCCCATCCAATTCTTATGGGGGGGATTTCCTTTCCTGGGTTTAATGCTACAAAGAGAACAAGACAAAATGTGTGGGCAATGTCAGAAATATAGGCATAAATTTGTTGATTTTGTTGGGCCCTATGTTTCATGCTCTTGTGAAGGAAGGCGCATGAAGACGAAGTTAACCCAAATAACATTTAATAGTAATGAAGTATATGAAGTATATGAATAGTATGAAGATTCATACAAAACACAGGGTAACACAAACAGCATACACAACTAATAAGAACCGAAGAACTGAAAGGGAGCAACTTAAATACACAGACCAAATGAGGATAATGAACTAACACAGGTGAACAGAATGAACTAATCAGACACGAGGGAAAACTAGATCAAGGAAAACATGAAAGAAAACAAATTAAAAGTCTATGAACAGAACATAACTGTGACACTATGATTTATGTGACGTGGAAAACACAGACGGAATCGTGGAATCCAGGCATAGTGCGGAATGTCTCGGAATTTGGCAAATTTTGGATGAATAAAAAAAAAAAAATCAAATCACGATATCGACTAGTGTCTGTGAATATTAAAATGCAAAAAGACGGCTATTGAATATGAAATCAGCATGTTCTGAAATAGAAATGTAATACTGGTGTAGAGTAGAATGTACTTCTCAATAAAACTTTAATTTTAAAGAATATCACAAATTCATATATACAGAAAAAAAAATTCATAGGGCATTACTACTATTAAAAAAAAAATCATTTTTTTCTGAATTAAATTGATTAGATTATTACAATTTATATTAAAAATAAGTTTCATGATTTTAAATAACTGCATGTGCTTTCTGGTTACTAAAATGTTATTTAACCATTAAAACAAAATCCAGACTGAATGCAGAAAAATAATAACGGAAATTATTGAATTTGGGAAAATAAATAAATAAATAAATAAAACAAAAAATAAAACTCATTTCATAGGGCCTTTACTTTAATATCAGAACACATGCTGGTGTGAAAAAAGAAAAAGAAAAACTGGTTTCTGGATGTTAAAGGGATAGTTCACCCAAAAATTAAAATTTGATGTTTATCTGCTTACCCCCACGGCATCCAAGATGTAGGTGACTTTGTTTCTTCAGTAGAACACAAACAAAGATTTTTAACTCAAACCGTTGCAGTCTGTTAGTCATATAATGGAAGTGAATGGGAATCACGGCTTTGAGAGTCAAAAAAACATACACAAACAAAACCAAATTCAACCCTGCGGCTCGTGATGATACATTGATGTGTAAAGACATGAAACGATCGGTCTGTGCAAGAAACTGAACAGTATTTATATCATTTTTTACCTCTTATACACCGCAATGTCCAACATCCGGCGCATGACGCGTGTATGTGCTCTGGCATAGTAGACATAGATGTATATACATAGATGCCTCATTAGTGACTGTTTCTATGGGCCGCGGGATTCTACTTATATATATATATATATATATATATCACTTCCATTACATGACTGACAGACTGCAAAGGTTTGAGTTAAAAATCTTTGTTTGTGTTCTACTGAAGAAACAAAGTCACCTACATCTTGGATGCCCTGGGGGTAAGCAGATGAACATCACATTTTCATTTTTGGGTGAACTATCCCTTTAACCTTGTTATTTAGCACGTGATTGGGACACCCACAGTAAGACTATGGGACCAAATTAAACATTTATCTCATGCAGTATGATAACTGATCTGATTGCCCTGCAAAACTAACCTGCCGTCATATATTCCCCACAGTTAGCATGCTCATCAATTAGTGTACTAAGTTAGTTCTGATCATCTGCAGCCATGTGCTAATGGGCCATTCAAGATATGAGCGACATTACAAACAGCTAATGCTTGAATCCGAAAGGGATTTTACGAGGAGATGAAATCTTACACAACACTGGCTGATCAGATATCACACACACATACACACACTGGAGATAAAGAAAGTCACAAAAGACCTCTGTAATGTCACTTCTGTTCACACTCAAAATGTCAATATCTCATAGAAAGCGTGAAGTGTGATCATCTGATGGTGATCAACAAACATGATCTCTGTCTCTATCTTACAGTTGACAGAAGCACTTTAACAGATCAGTGACAATATCAGTGATTTGATAAACGACTGCTTGTTTGTGGCGCTTTTTGAAAGAAGTTTCTTCTGCTCACCAACGCTGCATTTATTTGATCAAATATACAGCAAAAACAGCAATACTATTATTACAATTAAAATAACTGTTTTCTATGTGAATATACTGTAAAATTACATTTATTCCTGTGATCAAAACTGAATGTTCATCATCATTACTCCAGTCTTCAGTATCACATGATCTTCAGAAATCCTTCTAATATGCTGATTTGCTGCACAAGAAACATTTCTGATTATTATCAATGTTGAAAGCAATTGTGCTGCTTCATATTTTTTGTGGACACTGTGATACATTTTATTTTTCAGGATTCTTTGATGAATATAAAGGTCAAAAGAAACAGCACTGATTTGAAACAGAAATCTTTTGTAACATTATAAATGTCTTTACTTTTAATTTTGATCAATTTAA